ATTCAGAAACCTACTACGTTCACTCGTACTTATCAGTCACACTTAAAGTTTGGTTTTTATTTATCGGTTCATTCACTTATCGATTCCCACACTGAATGATTATAAAGTTTGCCCCAGACGCCACTGAGCCAGTTGGTTCTCTATGTAAATATATCTCCAGCAAATATCGTACCCAAGTGTTTACCATGGTTTGCAAATTTTGAGTACCATAAGTGATTGTCTTCAATCGTGCAATTCATATTTGTTAATCTGAGTAGTGGAGCATTTACAAGAGGCATTTGTCTGAAGATCTGGCACACATAGTTACATTAAAATCCACTGCACAGAGTCAGAATGTTTGAATTTCACATGGCTTCTCTATGCACCACGTTCAGTGGAGCTGTCTCGTCTGTCCCCGTTCTGATGAGCTCCCGGAAGATTTGAACGCTTAATGTTCCTCAAGGTATCAAACACCATCATATGCGGGTGGGGCTAACCATAATTTGTGGGCTGGTGTCAGAGCTCTGAATCGGTAACCCATGGGAATCGCATGGGACTCCAACCTCAACACACCGGTGATGTCACTCTGGCCAGTAATGAAACGCTTGCAACCGAATTATGTGGCCCGCAACCAAATAAATGGCAACCCATCGAACCGCAAGCTGGTAATGGCGTGATGAGGAATGAACACATACAGCACACGTAAAAAATGCAGTGAATAATTGACATCCTATAGGTTTTATGAGGTTATCATGAATACAGACAGAAATCACTGAGCTATGACAGAAACCAGCTTTACAACTACATAAAGAGAAAGGAAGCAGTGACAGATCTCACTATTTGTCTCCTGACTGGATCTCATTAATCCAATAGCTGACTGTATCACGTGACGAGTCTGAAGACATTCAACTTAATTACACGTGACCACTGATCTGCTACTAACGTAAAGAGTGAACTCATATGTATGGCAGAAAACCACAGTAAGAATCGACCGAACTAAATTTGCGATCTCTCCGTCACTCAGCAATTTGCTGATACCAATGACTATTAAACCAAAAAATGTTTCCGTAGCGAATATAAGGAAGAGAGACCAATAAGACATCAGGACCCGAGTTTAGAATCGTATACTGTATACTAGGGAAGGCTTAAACGTAAGTTCTCAAGGATATTGTTTGTTCGCTGGAGCTAGAAAAGAATAGATCGCATGTGTGACTACCAATAGTGTATAGTGAACCTGCTATACTGTGGGAACCCTCATATATGGCTGCGGTCCAAAA